TATATATATATATATGTAATACTTTTAACTTTTTCATCAATTATCTTCAATGATCGGGAACGTTTCTATAAAATGAAAATTCAAGCAATGACAATGAAAGCAAAAACTTTCGACTAAATTTTTTAAAAAAAATGAATTTTTACATTTTATGGAGTAATTGTGTGCGCGCCTCCAGTGCTCGGTACTTGAATCGCGCAAATCGCCTCCATCCTCTACTGCTCCTCGGCGACATCCCTGGCTGAGGCGGTGCCTCCCCGCGCTGGCCATCGCCGTTACTACCATTGAGCATCACTTCCGTCCCACCAATCAGATGTAATCATTCTCATTCGCACGAGTCTCGGTCTGCCTGATGCGGGAAACGCTAACTCTGTATTTTTAACGGTCAGGAATGGATAAGCAATTTTCTAAAAATGTGTTTTTGCTGTTTTAAGCTCTTCCCGATCTTAGTGGCAGACGTAAAATAAACAATACCACAGCAAATATATCTATGTACGGTGGCTTTGATTAAACTCCCAGTCACTCAGTGGTTATTTTCAAGTCCATGACAAAATTTTCTCTCCGAAAACCATAGTGACACTAAATTGTTGACAAACAAGCAATTCAAAATGAATTACGTTTGTGCCAGAATTGTTGTGAATTCGTAATGTTTGTGGTGCTTAAAATCTTAACGAATTAGGGAGACCAAAAATATGTTAGAGTTAAGAAAACACAGGAGAATCAAATGAGTTGTTAGAAGATATGTGACAGAATTTTCCGAACTAATTTCTTAATATTCTTATATTAGAATTTAGAGAATTACGCAGAGAAGAACGTTTACAGTACATCATTATGTTTATATTAGAAAACAAGAATGTAACTAAGTGGTGCAACAGAAATCGCACAACTTCCTCTCGTATTAGTTTTCTATTTCTTATCTCGCGGCTAAAGCTAGTTCGAACTTGTCACATATTCTTGCCAGCTGCCATAAATATTCTTTCATCAAGCGGTAGGTATTTTTTTTGAAAAATTATAGTTTATTGCACAATATTTGCAATTATTAAAAAATTTACAAAAAACAAGATTTCTCTTAAAAAACTGTTCCAATAAATGCAACTCTATAAGATGACATAAACGACTTGTGTTCTTGTTCTTTTGTTTTTCAAAAATTACAAAATTGTAATGTATTGACTTGTTTCTAGGTCGTTAATATTTAGCATTAGCGGCCAATTTGGAATTACATTATGTGCATTTATACAATGCTCGTCAAACAATGTTCATGCAATGTTTCTCGAAAACTCACAATTTGACTGTGAAAATGATCTTCAAGCTTCTGCATTTTCAGAAGAAACGCTCGAACGCCACTTTCACATAAATGGCTCGAAATTTTTTCTTCAAACTCTTCAGTACATATTGTTCTAATGCACTGTTTAAGAAGACTTAAAATTAATTTTCTGTATTTTTTCAAATAGCACCAACAAATGTTTTTTTTAATATCGCTAATGCCGTTAATATGCACATTTACGGATTTCGTAAACACCAATGCCATATGTGAGCGTAAGATGTCTCAAATGAATTTGATTGAAATTTTTTCAGGAAACGAAAAAAATTCTGTGAAAAAAGCAGCTTTAAATTTCGCATTTACAGTAACTTCTTAAATACCATTTTTTAAAAAATGACTTCACATTTTTCGATTAAAAATTCCATTTATTGATGAGTTGACTCTTCTTTAATATTATTAAAATTTAGAGACAAAAGTAAACAAATTTAACCGTGATGCTGTGTATTGTTTTTCTATCGCTTCATTTTACACCTTCGACGCCCTGACACTGTAACGGCTTATTTTTTGTATGATAATACGAAATCAGAGAACCCTGCCCGAATCCATTAAGAGACTTACAGCTTTGAAAAAAACGAAGAAAAAGAAATATCACAATTCCAAGTTTATCACTGGGTCATTGAAATTTAAATTGTGATAATTATAATGAAAAAGCGCTAACACAGTGCAAACAAAAATAACTCTATTTCATGAAACAAAATTCATATTCTAAATGTGTTAAAGTGATTATTCTCTGGAAACGGTTTTACTAGCTGAATTTATTTCTTAGCGATGGTTCTTAAACTACTACAATTTTTTCTCTTTCCCCGTTGGACAGCCAATTTACGCTGAAGAGAATTGATATTGCCTGACCTAGAATTTTTCACTGTCCTCCTCCTTATTATTAAATAATCGCATTTTATTCAATAGTCAAACATTGTACAGTCGACGGTGATAGTTAAAGCACAATCTGGTTGGGTACTAATTCATTTTCTACACGGTTATAAGTTGATTTCAAGGATCAAGTACAGTACGAGAAATCGATGAAAAACTAAATTTTGAGTAAAGTTTTTTATATAAGACGAATTATTTATATGAAACAAAGGAGGGTCACAAAATATTGAGTTTGTATGTGTCACCAACTAGCTTTTTCGCTTTTTGGTTAAAAATGTTGACGTAAGAATAATGCTTGTTATGCCATTTTTCTTTCTTTGAATGTAGTCCTCTCGCATTCACAATTTGGCATAATGCAGTTTGGTAATGCGACGTTACGGGGCAGTCTTCCTTCGTGGGTGCGCTGAAATGCAGAGACGTCCGGATCTGTCTTTCCCATGACGCGCTCTTTCCGTATTCTCTCTCTCCTCTCTCTCTCTTCGCTCTCTCTCTCTATTCTCTCTCTCCCTCTCTCTGATATCCTCTCTCTCTCTATCTCTCTCTCTATCTCTCTCTCTATCTATCCTCTCTATCTCCTCTCGCAATCTCTCTCTTCTATCTATTACTCTCTCTCTCTCTCTCTGAGAAAGAGAAGAGAGAGAGAGATAGAATAGACAGATAGAGAGAGAGAAGCAGGAGAAGATTCAGTAATTCCGTTTAAATAAAACCATTGTGTTATACATCAACAGTCATTATTTCATTAGAAATGCTCCAGAAATGCCTAAATTGTCTTCGTTAATTAGACCACAATACCATTTGATCGCCGTTCAGGCTGTGGTTATGCATAACTGCATCAGATAAAACTTTTGAGCTCAAACGTGAAAAATTCATCGAAGTAAGATAGTTATGCCATTCCACAGTTAATGAGCGATATTTTCAAATTTGAGGAGTACATGAAGCCTCTGTAACATTGTCGAAAATTTTCTGAAGAAATGGCTTGCAGTGTTTCTTTTATTTTTCTAGGAAGTAGGATAAAGTTAGTTTATAAAAATGATGTAGAACAATTTTTATTAGGAAAATCCACGAAAATTTTGAAAATTACAATGAACGAATTTATTTCAGTCTGTCCTTCATCATCAACATATAAACGCAGAGAATTTCTTTCTTAGTGCATTTTTATACCTCAAAATCAATTCATGATAGCAACTAATGTCACGGTCACAGTGGAACCGATTTTGACTGAAATTGGGCCGGCCCGTTATTCTCGACGTTTCCAGTTGCCTTCATAAACGTGATGGTAATGCGGAATGGTGACAGTGAACCTGAAACGACCTCTTCCGAAGCGTCCGCACACACCGGCTGTGGGGCGAAGATAACTCTTTCGTTTGATTTTGCCGTCCTTCGGCAAAATTGCCAAATTTAGAAAACCACCACATAATCCCGCTTCGGCGCATGAAACCAGCCGGCAATGAGCACGCACAACGCCGACAGAAAAATAATGGCGCTTAATGGATTAAATAAAAATGTTGATATCATTAATTTTTAAATAAATCTTTACTACGTAGAATTTTTAATGTTCCTGGTTACATGTAATTACAGAGGAAAAATATAGAAATCCTATTTAAAAAATTAGGAGTTTCGAGATTTCGGTTGCGTCAATTCTATTTGGGACATGCCGCTTTAGGCAAAAAGTTTATTTTTAGTGTCATATTTGCAATGGATGTTGTTTGCCATGATCACTGATGCGATTTGAAATATAGATGCCAATTTATACTCACGGGCAGACTTTAGTTTCTTAATACACCGTAATATATATATATATATATAATATATATATATATATATATATATGTAATACTTTTTAACTTTTTCATCACATTATTCTTTCAATGCATCGCGGAACGTTTCTATAAAATGAAAATTCAAGCAATGGACAATGAAAGCCAAAAACTTTCGTACTAAAATTTTTTTAAAAAAAATGAATTTTTACATTTATGGAGTAATTGTGTGCGCGCCTCGCAGTGCTACGTACATTGAATTTCGCGCAAATCGCCTCCATTCCTCTACTGCCTCCTCGGCGACATCCACTGGCCTGACGCGGTGCCTCCCCGCGCTGCGCCATCGCCTCCCCCTATCGCCGAGCCCGCAGGCGCCGCGGCCGTGTGGGGCGTGCGGGCGGCGGCGGCGGCGGCGGAGCGAAGCGCCAGTGCGGGTTCGACGGCACGAGACGCCCGCGCAGCGCTTGCCTAAGGCCCCGAGCGCAGTCCACCGTCCGTCCGCTCCTTCTCCCTCTCCGCCCGTCCCGCGATGCCGAGCTCGCGCGACCGCCTGCCGGCGAC